TACACAAAATTAAAAGCGTTATGCGTGGCTAATTTCCTTTACAAGTGTGTGCACACAGGCACTCAGCCAAAGGTGGCGGGCACCCATTTTAGATGTGGCAAGGCCCCAGGCGAGCACCATGGACCCACAGTCACATGCTGTCAGCCCTGACATCTCACATGGGATGGCAGCCTCCACACTGTGCAGGAAACATGTACTTGGTGTCTTCCATCAGGACAGTGCCACATATCTCACCCAGTGTATGCTTCAAGGAAATACTGGCCTGCCTTCTTTTTAAGATTACTTTCCCAAGCCTTACCAACAGCAAGAGAAATTATATGGTCCAAAGCAGCAGGCACAGAGAATTTGATGAGTCTAGCTGGAACTTTGACTCAGAGGGCTCTTGTCCCATGGGTTCTTAGGGGTCTCCCAAGATCTTTTAGAAAAGGCAGGGTAAGAAAAATAGGTTCCTCATTAGGGTGTTCATTTAGGTCGTATCTCTATGTACCTCTACACTGCAGAATTTCAAGCTACAGGCAGCATATATTAGTCTTTGTTTATTTTGTTTGTTTTTTAAAAGGAATCTCCAAGCCATTGGCATGTATCATACAAAAATACTGCAGAAAACAAAACCACCCTAAGGACTAGAATATTTATGCATTTTTTTCTATGAGGAAACTTTCACACCTATCATTTTTATGACTAGAATTATTCTAATTTATCTGTTAAGATAATCATCCTTTAAAAAATGTGCTATCTTAATTGTTGTCATGTAACATATATTGATGAAACTATATATCCAAAATTATAAGGACATATCCTTTTGCACGAATCTGACTTTCTTCTACACACACTTGCAGCATTTGCAAGCAACATTTTCCCTTCAGGAATGAAAGACTGCAAGCAAATGATGAAATATTAATCTTACAGATTTAGATTATTTACGAAACCAAGGAAGAAAGCACCAGGAAACCTCCTAGAAATAAGCTTCATGCTCTAAATAATTTCCATAGATTAAACAGAAATCGCTATCAGAACAAAGGAAGAATATGACTTTCTTAAAATTTAGACTATCTGTCCTTCAAAACACATCATTAAAATCTTTTCCAATCTGTTGCAAACGAGATACAGCAAGAAGCACAGAGTACAAGACTTTGTAGTATCTGCAATGAGTACCGCAAACCAAAACAAACATCTTATCTGCTCCACATGTTTTCCTGGGAAGATGAACAAGCACGTTCTCTGGTGCAGCCCAGCTGGCAAGTCTCTCTGCAAAGCCACAGTCTGCTAACCATCATTTCTTTTTTCCACAAAGCTCAGGCTTTGATAAGGCAAAATTATTTAAAATTCCCCATGCTGTTCTACCTCCCTGCCAGTGATCCAGTATTATCACAAGTGTGTTCTCTTCAACAGCGCTGTGATGCTACGGAGTTCTGCTAAATTTATTGAGGAGTCCTTTCAGTGGTTAGCTATAACACAGTACAGTGGTTATCCTCCTAAATGATGATTAAGCTTTTGGGTAACATTTAATTGAAAATGTCAGTTTTTTTTCAAATCATGGCTGCTCGGTTCACAATCCAGTTGAATGTGATTTTGTCTATCAGTAATCCATGACAAAGATGGATGAGCTTAATCCCATCCCTTGGGTGATCATATAAAAAAGCTTACCCCTTTGGACAAATCTCAGGCTCAGATAATTTCACAGTATTAGTTAAGGGTTAACGTGCTTTGTGTTTGTTTATTTTCTCAAATATTTTACTTTTTCAGTTGTAACTAATTTCATGTGATCAGCAACTATACAGTCAATTGTATTCCACTAACAACGTAATTCTAAAAACGTATTCTAAAAACAACGTAGCAAAAAGACACATTTTCACAGGACTTTCAGTTTCCCTTGCATCATGCTGCCCTGGAGTGAGGTGGGGTCAGCAGTGATGCTGGGGACCAGGGACAAGCCGATGACTTTAGGTCTGAGAAGCCAGGACAGCACAGGCTGTAAAGAGGTTTCACCAGCAGTACTTTCCTCAATACATTATCTGAGGAGATTTGCAGCCATCCTCTTCCCATCTCACTGAGTTATCTCTAGCCCTGGCATATTGCATGGCCCTACAGAAAGAGTCTCGGCAGGGTGAAGCAACTGGTGCTGACAAGCTAGCACCAACCTGGGGTGTGAGTGCCTCACAACATCATTCTGAAGTTGGCGTCCATTGGCTGAGCTCTCAGAGAGCATCTTCTATTTTGGCTTCCTTCTAAAAAGATGCTGCCTGTGCACTCTGGGACAGCTACCAGTACACAGTGGTAAGCAGAGACATTGGACAATTTACTTCAGAAGCGTACCGCTGACCTGACCTAAAACCCAAATCTAGATGGACCCTTGCTATAGTAACACCATAACTGGCAAGAGCCCTTGTAGTCACTACATTTCAGGCAGGTTTCATCTCTTTTCTGCACTGGCCCTGGTTTAATTATTAACTCTATTTTTAGCCACCACTTTGAGAAAGAGGATGCCTGTGTGAAGAGTTTGGTTCCATTTCAGGCTAAGGACACAAAAAGAGGTTTGTATTTGCCAGAGAAAGAAATATCACATACAATACTGAATACTCCAGGGAGGGTGGCTTCTGAGATAAAGTTTACAGTAATCTCATCTTAATTAAAACCAAGTGAAATTGATAATATCTCATTTCTCTGCTGCTTTATTCTTTGGGGGTCATTGTCAATGAATCTGCAGAAAAGATGGCACGAAGCATTCTCAACTCAGGCTGAACCATTCAGTTCATGGAAGGACTCGAGAAAGAAACGAAGCTCAAGGTGGTGAATGTTTGTGAAAGGTCATTCTTATCAGAAGTAAGAGAAAGCAGGAGACAGAGAACCTGCCTTTACTGCTACAGCGTGGGGAGAGAGACGAGAAAAGGGCAGAGGCAGACAGAGTTTGAGAGAAGACTTTAAAAGAAGAAAAAGGATGGATTTAAAAAAGCAAAGCAGAGATATAAGTGACTGCTCTCAGCTCTAAAAGCAACAAGTTTTTTGTCCAATACCAAGAAAGAAGCAAATCAAGCATAGGGATCAGGTGGGAGAAGTGGCCCATCCTAAGTTAAAGGCTGTGGGAAAACTTGAGAGGATTATTTTGGACGCATTTGTAACACAGTGCAGATAAGGGCTTTCCTTTTTTAATTGAAATGCAACTATAAAAAACCTTCACAACATGATACCGAATTTTATTGAGAAAAATGTCTTGCCCTTTAAAAGAGTCAGGATAAAGGTGAGGAAATCTATTCAGCTAAATAATACCCAAGAAGCGCTAGGACACCTCCCTTTCATTTTAGATACAAATGTAGTTATGTGACACGACTTAGCAAGTGATTTAATAGCTCTTGTCATGAATGCTATTCATCTGCTAGATGCAAATCTGGTTTGCTATTCATATTTTTCAAAAGCACTAACGCAGCTATTTTTTTTCTATCTTTTACCTACTACATCTTTAGAGTGCAATTTTAACTTTTGTGCAAAGCAGCAAAGATCTTTCAGCCTTACTTAATGAGCACCCACCTAGTTCCCTCGCTGCCCCCTCTCCTCCTCGAGACTGAGCAGTTGGGCTGATGTTGTGACTGTCTCGAAGAGAGAGTTCATGAAAAAAGGAAGGTAACAAATTCTCCTCATTCCTCTCAAAAGATGACAGATGAAAAGGCTGGTTCTAGAGTGTGCTCTCTTGCCCATAAGGAGTAAAATCCTTTAAGAAATTCCCATAACATTGCTTACTCTCAAGCCCACCTTGTGAGTACAGGGTATTTTCAGAATAATGAGAAGCCTTATTATTTAATACACAGCGATGCTGAATTCAGAATTCTATCCCTTCTTGAACTGTCAGACTGCATCCAACAAGAAGAGTCCAACCACTGCTGAGCCTTTCTTAGAAGCAAAAAGTGACTTAAGACTTATTTACAGCAATTCTCACCAAGAAAATGCAATTTGATGTCATCTTGAAAAAGGGAACACAAACTGCGGTGTAAGATCATACCTGCACATTGGCATTTTCTGTTTTTAGCTTCAAAGACACAAAATCTACTGCTATTTCCAGGAAGCTCCATCAGAAGGGAGGGGGCATACAGCTCGTCATATGCTATGGGGGAAAATGATAGCATGTACATATTCCTTGGCCTCAAAAAAATAAAAGAGAAGAAGGAATTCTATTACTACTCTGAAAGTGAAAGAGCAAAAATAGATTATAAGGCAGAGGGAGGAGACTGCAGATTAAGTCTGGACAGTATTGACAGTTTGGATTTTTTTCAGCACAATCTGTTTTGGGAAGTCTGGACTGGGGAGGGAGAAGAAAGATAGTCTGGGCATGCGGTAGATTGATTTTAATACCCTCTCTCATTCTTCTCCTCTAGGCTCTCTTCATTCTCTTTATTCCCGGCATCCTCAATTTTTCTCCTGATGCACATAAAGGATAGCTTTAAACTAAGAAACAAGCACACCTCTGGAAAACACGCCTGCTCTTTTCTGGAAAGTGCATGGGAGAGCTCAGCTGCCACTCCCTCGCTCGGCTGCCACCAGACAGCTTGGTGACAAGAGAGATCCCTTACAGCCTAAGTTAGCATGAGGCAGGGAAATGGCATATGACATTAAAGTTCAAAGCAGCTGATTACACCCTTGATGTGTTGCCAAACTGTTAGCCCAATGACACTATTTTTTCAGCTATATTGATCTATTTTCTAAATAGCTTTTCTTAACCCCACTCTTCAACAAGTGGAAAACCTCAGGAAGAAATGTATTATTTGTATGCTGAGGAGAATTGAGCACTATTTTTGGAATACTTCTTTTATATAATAATGAATTATTATATAGGGGGATTTACCCCCCTGACAGAGACCAAGAAATTCTCTTTATTTTCCCCCTCCCAGTGCTCTCCTTCAGGCTCTGAAAGTAAACATTTAAAAATGCATGCAGTTAGTGGGTTGCGTAGAACACCGCTCTGTCAGAGTGAACACTGTGATCAATCACATCAGGCTGTTTGTACTTACAATCATCTTCTACTTCCTCATACCAAAGCACGTGAGCAGACATGAAATCTCTCCACAAAACAGAGGAAAAGAAAACAACAGTAAAACGCTTCTTGGCAAAGTATACTCCCACTTTGCTGCTTCAGTCGCTTTCGAATGAGGCTCGTCCCTGCAGATTGACAGCCGTGTGTGTTCCCACCTAAACCCCGGCAAGTTCGCAGGGCAGCACACAGCGGGAGCCTCGGTGGGATGCAGCCAGCAGGGTCCGCGCCGGGCAGGGCGAGCCGGGGATCCTCGCTGCCACCCAGCCGGCACCGTAACTCGTGCCCTGCTCTTTGGAGGCCCCTACATGTTTCAAATTCCAGGACTTGCGCAGAAGCAATGCTCCGTGCTTCCTTCAAAACGAAGTTGATTTCCCATAATAGGACAGCCCATGCACTCTACATATAAGGCTCTGCTTCTAGGGTGGCATGTGTAATGGGTTTAAATTAAATGTTGCGCGTTTCCAAAGAGTGTTTAATGCAACAGAGTGAAGATATTTCTTGATCCCTTTGCCCAGCTGCCTTCAGTCTCCTGTATAGGAGATTTCCCCCTCCACAGCCACTGACCCACTGTCCATCCCGGCCTGAAGGATCCCTGTTTAGGACAGGGGAGGCAGCTCTCTGGCGTTCAGCCACTCTGTCTCAGCTCAGACTTATGGAATTCCAACCACTCTGCTGAGCAGAGGGAGAAAGAAAAAAAAAAGAAAAAAAAAAAAAGAAAGGAAACAATTTTGTTCCCAAACTGTGTAAATACAAACACAGGTTGCGATAAGTCTGTACCAGCTTGGAGAGAAAAAATACTACTGACTTACATTTGACCTTTCCACTCCCAACAAAACCACGCAGTACTGCTGCTAGACACAGCCCAGGAATGAGTTGCAGAAGAAATAGGGGAGCGTACGGAAACATTCTTTAATTTCCAAATCCCAAAAGCTGCATATCCCAAAAAGGTGGGACCTGGGCTTGCCCCTTCCCCTGCATCAGCCCAAGGCCTCCTTAGTTTTTATGGAAAGGCAAAAACAAGCATCCACTTTAGAATGGGACTGCAGCTCTAGACTCAAGCCCAGACTTTTATATGGCTACTTTCTAGTGTGTATATATATATATATATATACACATATATATATACTTTGTACAGTATATATGGCCATAAGGAATCATTATTAATTCAGTGCTTCATTTGAAAAGTCATTTGAAAGAACACACTTAATTTGCTCATTATTCTTTAAAAAATCATCCTTAAAAATAAATTGCCAATACAGCACTCTGCTTTCAAGCCTAAAGTGCTCTAATGGTGATTACACATTTGTAAGTAAAATCCTGGATTATACAGAAAAATAAACACGAAAATGAATTGCATAACATACCTTTATGGCCACTGGTATTTTCTACATCAATAGTCAAATTAATACCCTGGAGAACCTGGATGTACAGTACATGTCAACAGACTCCTAAGGATTAATTTGTAGTCCACAGGAACTGCAAGTCATGAACTGATGTAGAAAATAATCTGGAGCGAAGCAGAGCACTCTGTGACAGCAGCAGCATTCTGATTATTTCAGGGAGAATTGAACCAAGCAAACTCAGGAAAGGAACTGCTTATTGCGCAGAAGTTCTTCTAAAATATTCACAGTCACCCTTAGTAACACATACTGATAATAACTGAGTCCCAGGAATGTATGTACTTAATGACCAAAAGCGAAAGCCATCTCCAGAGTAGATCCCTAGTGCTGGAACTGTGATCCTCCTGACTCCTATCCAATTCAGTCTTTCAAGGTGACAGATTTCTATTCAAAACCTTCCAGGTACCTAAAGCTCTGTTTCTGAATATGACTAGAGGGCCTTATCCTTGACAGAGCTCTGCAGTCTGCCTCATACTTAACTGCAGTCGTGGCCCACTGAAATCACAGGAAGTATTCATCTTCTCTGATGCTGTATTTGAGACCACCGGAGAACATCAGACCAGGCTTTGCAGGAAATATTAATTGATACTTTCTTCTAAAATATGGCTCAAAGAAGTGGGTGGTGACAATACTTACAATAGCTGACGTGCTAAACAATCCCTCACACGCAGGAAACCCAGTTTTACTTCCCTTCTTGCTAGGAGCATAGATCAGCTCAAGAGAGACCCAGCTGACCATGCAGAAATTTTCAGCCCAGGAATATTCCCCTCTTGCTACTGAAACTTCATCACTCAATGGGAAAAAAGTAAAGATTTGTTGGGCCACAGATTTGTTTGGGGATAGCAAAAGTTAGTATTCAAACCTTCTGTTTTTTTCAGTTGAGCTTTTTGTTTTTTGGTGTTTTTTTTTTGTTTGTTTCTTTGTTTGAGGAGAGGGTTGTTACACAAAATTGAGAAGCTCTTAAAAATTAAAGACTACTTTCAACACTGGTTTATATACAGAAACTTCAACTCTACTGAACAGATGTTTGATATACATCTGCCAGTCCCCGCTGGCCAACACAGCATACACTTATAATGCATGTATAACCTGGAACTGAGTTTACAATTTTGACAGACCAACTTTCCTTGTAAACAGTTGTAGCTGCTGGTTTTTTGCCTGAACTGGTATTAAAAGCTCAACCTGTCTTCAAAAATAGAAAGCAATCCACAGCCTCGCTGTAGATCTCTGTCAGATAATTTCTGTGTGCCCAATCAATGCTGGGATCAGAGGCTGCTCATCATACCATTCCTTCTTGTATGGTGTTGTCATACTACTGCTGAGTACTCTGAGATTGCAATGCCTGGGCTACAGCTGTGGAGAGCAAGCCTCAAAGCCAGAGAGAGGGTGGTCAATCTAGAAAATCTGGAACAATAAAGAGGCACACTTTAAAAAAAAAAAAATACAGCTGCAACTCTATTTTAATGTTGTCTTCCTCTTTCACAACCAGTTATGGGTTAAATGAAAGAAAATCATCTGCTCTGCAGCAATGATTAGGGTGATTTTCTGCTGTCCATTAACACTTAGAGAGGCTGTTTATTTTGCTGCTTGAGAAGTCCTTTCAAAACCCATGTGTTGATAAAGTCGAAAATAATTCCTTTCTAATAGCGAGAGCATGACAGGAATTCAAAACTGGAGACAATTCAGAAGAACCCAGTAACAATTTGAAAACAAACCCTAACAATAAACTGCCTGACCAGGGACTATTTAGGAGGATGGATTTAGTAGACATTGGATAGAAATTGGAAATTTGGGGTCTGATTCAAGAAATATTAAGATATTACAGTTGTCGGAATAACTTATATGGGAGGACAGGTCCCCAGTTAAACATAAATCAAATAAGAACTTCATGTTAACACCCTCCACAGATTAACTCATCTTCCATCTCAGTGCAATTTAGTGTAATATAAATGAAAAAAAAAAAACAAACCCAAACCCCAACACATTATACTGCCATTTATATCCTCTAACTACATATCCTTTCCTGTTAAGAGATAAAAGAAGAAAATAACAAATAGGTAGCACGCCACATGGAACTGATTTACAAATCTCTTATGACTTTTCAGACATCCCACCAGCAAATGTTGTTTGCCAATTCAACATCAGGCACAGTGCTTACAGCATAAATCTAAGACATGATATTTTGATTATAATTTCAGAAAACATTTCAACCTTTATTCTATCATGTTTTCAAATCCTTGCCAAAGCTGACCCAAAAAAAATAAAGTAATACAAGTCTGTCACTCAATTCAACCAGTAAGCTCACAACACAGTCTCTTCTGTGTTCTTGCCAGTATTTGGAAATCTATCACAGCAATCTGTGTGGGAAGTGCTTAGCTCTAGGGACTATGGGACTGATGCAAAGGGAGAAGTGGGATGGGAATCTTTTAAGCACTAATGCACAGCATGTGGTTTTGCCCTGGTGGTATATTGGCTCTGAGTCTTTTTATTATTCACTTCCTGTCATGAAAAAATACCACTTGCATGTCAACAACAGAGAGAAAAAAAATCAACAGCTTTATCACAACAGAAGTAAACATGGGACTTCTGATTTTCCCATGTATGCAGCAAGAAAAAAAGAAAAAAGAAAATCTTCCTAACATGAGTAACCAAAGCAGAATTTCTTACTTTCATTTCTCAACCTATTTTTACTTAAAAAAAAAAGAAAAACAAAAAAAAAAACCTGTAGAGACTGTTAGTACAGGTTGCAATGTTTTTCTTTTCTCCATACGCTTATTTGATCTGTAGACCAGAAAATAAAAGACAAAAAATAAAAAAATCCTTTGCTCTAAATTCTGAAGGAAGCAGTAGGTTTTGTTTTTTAGATTAGCAGACATTAACCAATGTATAAGTTGAAATTTAGTAGTAATATAACAAGGAAGGCAAAGGCCTCTCATATGCAAATAGCTGTTAAAAAAACACCCACTATTTAAGTCCATGTATTTCTATTTCATGCAACACTTCTGTTTGAGACGATACTTTAATATATGGACCAACATACTAATTCATTACTGGTTTTGTGCTCTTTCCAATCCATCTCCTTCATGCTGTATCTCTGTGGAATATGGTTTACCCCCTTTTTGGAGACTATCTAGAACAAAAAAGGGCTGGGCACATTTCTTACTAGTTTAACAAAAGTAACATTCAGGAAAACAGTAGAAATCATTCTCTTTTACAAAGCTTCAATTAAACTCAAGTTATTCTATCATTCTAAAGACCAAGCAGCACTTTTCATTTATGGGAACTCTCTTCAGGGTCAGGTCCCATTAATCGCTGGCTTTGCTGCCTCCACTTTCCCCATACAGAATGCTTTTGCTCTGTAGATCTTTATTCTCAAACCCTGTAAACTCTGACATTCAGAAACTTCTACCGCAGAAGTGAAATCAGTCTAAACAAAAGCCAGCTGAATCAGAGTACTCGTGAGATGCACTGAATCCTCAAAAGGAAAATGTAAGAAAGGACAGTGAATTATATAAAAACTAATATTAAGAGTACAAAGAAGAGAAGAAGGAGGTTTGAATTACAAATATATAGACATATATATATTAATATACACTACTTACATATATGGTAGGAGTTGAAGTAATGAAGAAATAGAATTACTCAGTTACGCTACAAAAAAAATCCGGTATTTATCTCTCCAGAGAGGTTCAAATGACCAGAAAGGAGAACAACTTATAACTATTATCCCTTCTTCTTTCTAGATGTGTTAAGTGTAGCC